TCCTCACCAAGTGAGTGTCCAGTTTAAGCCCAATTTCTCAGACAAAAATATGGCTATCCATTTAAATTAATGTATTTTCTTAACATCTGTAATTCAAATTCTTAGCAATTTCTACTAGTTCTTCTCAAAAAATTTATCCCAGAAACCTCTCTCAGAATCTCAGATTCTTTTATCTCTGAGGCTCTGAGGCCAGCATTCCTTGGTTAGGAATAGCCAAGTAAGGGTGGAGGAGGTAAGGGCCTCTGTTCTTTGCTATAACAGAGCAGGAAAAAAAAGGAGGTCACTGAGGTGGCTTGGGTTTCCACTCACTGCTGTTGTGAACAGATAAGGAAATAAAGTGTCAGGTTTAGGGCTTTTGGGTTTTTAGCTAAGCACATAAAGCTCCTGGCCTTTCTAGGCACCCAGAGCAGATGTAGCTTTTGGCTGACCCAGGCTGCAATGCAGATGGCTTTGCCACTGGTTTTCAGGATTAAAAGGTGGTAGGGTGTCTATGGCTGAATTTGGGGCATTTTGAGCCATGGGAAGTTACAATCACAGGAGAATCATGTAAGGAGGGGAAAGGTATTCATAGGAAACCCATGTCCTCAACAAATGGTCCTGTATTTTTGAAAGGTAGCTTCTCATTTGCCATTTGACAAAGGAGAAACAACTGACTAAGGGCCACCAGGTGATCCTGCGATCTGAGTTCCCTTTCATGAACTGAATGTTAACTGAATGACAAACTGCAAAGCTGGTCATGGTGGCTGAGATGGGGGGTCACAAGTTGAGGGCCAGCTTGTACTGTATACTGAATTCCAAATCAGTGTAGGTGACATAGCAAAATCCTTTTATAAGGACAAAAATTTTGCAATCCACCCCAGAAACGCTCCACATTTAAGAGAGAATATGCACATGAGACGATTCTTGAAGAAGAACTGACGTCATGAGGGGAGTCTTTCACTATGCAGCCTATATGCCTATCCCAGTGAGCCTGTTCCTGCCATACATAGCTCCTTTCTCCTAGAACCTCATGACTGGGATATGGAAGGCAAAACCATTTGAGCTTATCTTACTTAAACTCTGTAACTGTTTGGATATGGACTTTTGTCACACTGTATCCCTGATAAAGTGTGGCTCTGAGCAAGAGTGGAGAACACTGTCAGTTCAAAGCAGAACTTTGGTAGTATAACTGAGAGTCTACTATGTCTGGAGAAAAGATGGCCTGAGCTATGGATCTATAACAGCCATGAATGTTGGCTAGTAGCCTGTTTGGTAGGAAATTGTCATGGGTAATCATCATTGTCAACTAGACTGGATTTGGAAAGATACATCTGTTTTGTGATACTAATCCTGGGACACATGAACAGATGTCTACTCACCCCAGATAGGGAACTGGCAGCCCAGTGTAGGCATACCGCCATAGTTGAACTTGGTAAATATATCTATATAGATATAGATAGATGATATAGATATAGATATAGATATAGATATAGATAGACAAATACATATATGATAGATAGATATATGATAGATATTTATAGATAGATGATTGATTTATAGATGTAAATATATCTATATAGATATAGATAGATGATATAGATATAGATATAGATAGACAAATACATATATGATAGATAGATAGATGATAGATATTTATAGATAGATGATTGATTTATAGATGATAGATAGATAGATGATAGATAGATAGATAGATAGATAGATAGATAGATAGATAGATAGATAGATAGATGATAGTCTTTTTGGTTGCTCTGTAGGCCCAGTTGACCTGGAACTTGCTATGCAGACTGGCCTCCATCTGACAGAAATTTGCCTGCCTCTGCCTTCCGAGTGTTGGGATTAAAGGCTGTGCACCATCACTCCTGGCACAAATGAGTTTCATTGGGCTTATTTACAGGAATATGGGTGAGGGTTTACTTAAAGGAACATGAATACCTCAAAGACAGATGAATCACTAACATCCCACCCCAGCGTTGGTGACAACTCACAAAAGTAGGAAATGTGGAATGTACAACCAGCAGGCAGCTCAGCGTGTTGGAGAATGTCCTTTCCAGGTAGCTCAGTTGCTATGAGTCTTTTCCAGGCAGCTCAGCTGGTCTCTGCTTTTTCCAGGCATCTTGACTTGCATGAAACTGTCTCTGAACAGTCTTGGGTAGGGAGGAGCCTCTTGAACCTGCTCAGTTTTAGGGACTTCCTGAAGCTTTCCCCTTTGTTTACATCATGGGCTTCACAAGTTTCTCTGAAGGGTGGAATGCTTCACCTCTCTCAAAATATCCTGCTGTCTACCCAACTTCCCTCCAAGATGGAAGATTTTATCTCAGAGGAAATTGCCACACAGCAACCTCTGGGTGTTGTTGAGGGCATTTCCACAGAGGTTTAACTGAGGAGGGAAGATTCACCACAGGTATGAGGGCCATAATCCCACAGATCGGCGTCTCAGACTAAATAAAAAGGGAAAGTGCCATAGAGTATGCTCTTGAAATTAAATTGGAATAGTGATTTTCCTGAAAGAGCACAGCAAACATGATGGGATTTCTGAGGCAGGGCTGCAAAAAAGATTTGACTCAGCTTGGGGGGGGGGTGTCTCTAGTTCTTTTTGTCCCTGTCCTCATCTTTCCCCTGACTCCAGATACTTGTGTTCAGGTTTCCAGGCAGCCTGTGCACAATATCAGTTGGGCTGTGTCCTAATTTAATCCTTGGCTGACAGACTGGCATCATCTTCATGTGAGATCCTGATCCAGAGGCATCCAGTTTATTAGTGCCTTCGGATTTTTGACAGTTTAAATAGATTGGTTTCTGTATGTCACTAAGTTTTGAAGTAATTTTTTATGTTTCAATGGATAATTCAGGCTTGGAATGGTTGGAAACACTGTACTGTTTTTTGTTTTGTTTTGTTTTGTTTTTGTTTTTTCATCAAAGGGAAATGTTTTGCATTCCTCTGTGTGAAACTAGGACAGCACTTATTCTCCGTATTTAATTACCTTTCTTATCTACCATGCATCTGCAAGTGTTACCACTCCTGGACCTACTGAATGCCCCAATCATTTTCATAATATTACATACAATATTGTGTGAAATCAAAGAATAAATATATACATATTAAATTATAGAAAAACAAATGAAATTTGTTAATTTGTGCTCACCTATACATTACACCGAGGTTTTTTGTTTGTTTGTTTTGAATGCACAATTTAAAATTAAGATCACTAAATGAATTAAGTTATATAAAACACTCCGTTTCATCATGGAAATTTCATGTAATTGTGTTAATTTACACACAGTAATATGAGCAGTACAGTACTATGTACTGGTCATATTTGTTACCCTGTCTTATCCCCTTCCCTCACATCGCCTCCTTCCTCTTCTCAAATAGTCCCACTTCTGTTTACGTGCTTTAAAAAAACATTCAGTTTCTATGTATGAGAAAATGTGTGTTGTGATTGGTACTCTGCATCTAATTAATTAGTTTAATATGATTAACTCAAGTTCCATCTATCTTCTACAGATCACGTGATCTTGTTCTCTTTCATAGGTGAATAAAACACCACTGTGAAAAAACAACACGTATCTATTCATTCTGATGTAGCTAAATGGATTATGTAAGGAAAAATGTGGATTTTAATCTTTGTTTTCTCCCTTTGTCTCCATCATCAAATTTCACCTGACAAGTTTGTGGTTAGAATGCTAACACAGCTAACTAGAAGCCCTGGCCTTGTGTCCTGATGAAACTCCCCCAATTCTGTTTGTCTCAGATGGAGACTTCTGCAATGATTTTCTGAGTAGTCTTTTTAACATTTATTTTCTTTCCAAAATTATAATAATTTTCCTAATTTTGAGACTGTATATAAGTTTCCTTCTCACTGTAATTCACTACTTACTTATAAAAAATGAATGCTTCCTCTTTTTGGGGTACAGAGATTGAGACTTAGTCCTTTGGACCAGGTTGCAGTTTAAATATACTTGCTACCTATATCTCAAGGAGTCTTGTCTGTCCTGCAACAATTCATTTGTTGATGTACACCTACAGTGATTCTATAACTTAGGTATTATGAACAATGTCATAGTAAACCTAGTATTTCTATTGTATGCCTACGTCAGTTCCTTTGGGACTACAAGGATGGGTATAGCTGGGTCGTATGGTCATTCTGTGTGTTGCTTTTTGAGTAACTTCCATACTGATTTCTGGAGCAGTTGTGTTACTTTACAACCATCAGTAATGTTAACTTCCCCTCCTTCTTCACCAGTATTCATTGTGTTCTTGATGGTAGTCCTTATGACTAGGGAAAGATGTAACCTCAGTGTAGGTTAGATTAATTCTGCTGATGCATGATCATGTGATTTTTCCCACTATTTTTGTTTCTCCTTCAGTTTCTTAATGATTTTACTTTTCACAGTAGAAATCTTTCTCCTCCTTAGTTATATTTATTCCTGTGTTTTTCTAAATTAAACTCCATATATTAACAGAATAAATTATCAAATCTACCCCACCACTCATCTTCTTTATTCCAATTTTTCCTCTGTGCCCTCTCAAGTTCATGTATAATTTTTAAAAATTTATCAATTCTTTGAGACTTTCATACAATGTATTTGATCATATTCATGTTCACCTCTTCCCCTTAATTCTTACAGATCTACTCTCAAGTTCATGTATAATTTAAAAAATTTATCAATTCTTTGAGACTTTCATACAATGTGTTTGATCATATTCATGTCCACCTCTTCCCCTTAACTCTTACAGATCGATCCTCACCTCCTTAACCATCAACTTCATGTCTCTCTTTTGAAAATTTAATTCCACATTGACTCCAACTGCGTGTTCACATATGTCTTTTGCAGCATTTAATATTTTCTCGCTATGTTTTGACATTTTAGCTATGACATGTCATGGAGAGGTTCTTTTCAGTCTCATCTATTTTGGGTTCCATGTGTGTTAAAATCATCTTCTGTCTCTACCCTCTAATTTCTTCCCCATCTGCCCACGATTTTTCCCTTCCAAATTCACGTGCTATATGGAGCACTTCGTGAATGTACATGCATCCTTGTGCAAGAGCCATGGTAATCTCTGTATCATTCCAACTTTCTATATGTGCTGCCAAAGTGAGCACTTGAACAGATTTTTCCCTGCCATTAATTTGTATCTACCTCCTTCTATCTCATGAATTTTGGGGTTTCTTTCTTGATCATGTTTCAGGATTATTGAAATTTCTGGTTGCATTTGCTTACTTCTTTTCTTTTTTGAGTGTCTCAATGTTTTAATTTTGTCTCCATTCCTTGGTATTATTTTTACTCTTGATTTAGTGTATTGGTGATGCTTTCCAATGTGACTCTTTTTCTCTTTGAGACAGTATCTCTATGTAGCCATAGATAGCCTGGATCTTTCTATGTAGAACAGGCTGACCTCCAGCTCAGGGAGATCTGCCTGACTCTGCTTCTCGGGTGCTGGGATTAAAGGCATGCGCCACAATGTCAGGCTTCCAAATAGGATTTTATTTGAATTTATCACTTCCAACATTTATGTTTTCTTTCCCCAGATCTCACTTTCCTTGCTGAGTTTCTCATCCATGTTCCCAAATTTCTTTTCCAGGTCTTGAATTGAACCCCTCCCTTATTCGTACGCTTAGTTGAGTCCTCCTTGGAGACCACTGATTATTTTTAAAAAGTAGACTTTTTTATTCTATTTCTAGCTTTTTAACAATTTCAGGATGTTTGGATTCAGTCACTGAGGAGTTGTACCCTTTTGGAGAAGACTTTTGTTTTGCCTTTTTGTGTTTCTTGGGCTTCCATATTGTGGCCTATGCATCTACTGTGATGATATCTATTTGGTCTTATTTGGGGGTACTTAGTGGTTGCCTTCTCTTGGGGCCTCGTTCTGCAGTACCACTCAGAGAGGAAAATCATCAGCATCCAACCAGATGTAGAAACACAGTCATTGCCTATTACCTCACCAAAAATTTCAGGAAAGAAAAGGTCAAAAATAATGCAGAATAAGCTTTTAACTTAAAAATTATTGAACCTAAAACTAAGTATAATCAATGGCTAAAACAAAACGACAGAGAAAAAGAAAGGAGAAGAAAGATTAAATAAAAGAAAAGAAAAGACTCTTACAGAACAGGAGTATATGCAAATAAAGTTAGGAAAAGGTAAGAAAAAGGATAAAAATCCCCAAAGCATCTGAAAAGTAAAAGAAAAGCAGTACCAAAATAAATAAAGACAGCACTAAAATATTATAAAAACAAGAATGGGAAAACAAAAAATAAAAGAAGAAAAAAGTAAAACAAAAACCAACCTATAACCCTCCCCAAACCAAAAGGAGCTTCAGTACCTTCTTTTTTTAACATTGAATTTTCCAGGTGGGTGGGGTGGTGGGTAGAAGCTTGAGTTCTTCCTTTTTTTTACCATATACTAACATTCAGGTTGGTGCTGAATCTAAATTTGTTAGGGGTCAGTTGGGTGTGTTGGCTGCACTCACTTTAGATGCTACCTTCATTTGTGTTCCAGGAGTTACTGCTGCTGGTCACTTTGATCCACTGAAGTCTGGGCTAGCTAGGTTCTCTCCCTAGAGTTCATCAAATTTATGCACTTGGAGTGGCTAACATCCAAGCTGTGCACCTGTACTGTGAGTACATTGGAGAATGAGGGAAGTAAGCAGAACTGAGATCTGCCCTAGAACCGGGGAGCCGATGGAACCCAGAATTCTCCCTGTTTTTCCTGGTTCTCTTAGATCGTACCCAACAGGGAACCATCCTGCAGGAGGGAGGATGCCACAGAAATCAAATGTGATACTAGATGTGAGTTCACAGTTTTTGGTACTGCCAGCCATGGACCACACGTGGTAGAGACATAGCAACAGAGCCTGAGTAGTCCTCCGGCCATGCGCTCAGGGCTATCAGTCTTTGCTGTTTTCTAAGATGATAGGGTTTCCTCTTCACCCCAGAGGGAGGACCATTGACTACCTCACTTTTCAAAGCTTGATCCTCCCGCTGACTTAACTTCTCAATGTTTCTATGTCTGATCTTCCCTCTCCACAAGTGTATCCCCATGGATGTCTCCCACACAGAGATTGTGGAACAGTGTCCCTGATATCACTGGACTTGTGATTAATGACTGTGTTAAGCCTCTAGAGTAGTTTAGTCTCAAACAATTGCTACCTCTCAAGATGCCACCCATTGTTGCCCTCTAAGACATGAGAGTGAAAAATTAATTTCTTTTGCGATGTTGGCCTGCCGACTAGCAGGGGTCTCTCTCATAGCCCATCTATTTACTGAATGTAAGGCTTGTAAGGACTGTAGGCATTTCGGTTACAAACGATGTCACACAGTTTTTGCCCAGGTTGACAACGGATTTACACTTTGAGTTACACTGACTACAGAGTCGGTCCTGGGGTTGTGACGGGATCCTTAGGCTGTTTCATACTATTCTCTCTGCAAGCTTTCTGATTCTCTGGGCTCTTCACAATAAAGTGTCCTTTTTCACCCTGACTCCTCAATCCTGAAATTACACAGAAGCAGCTTCCAATCTGCTCCTAACACATTAAATAAAAAGCTTGATATCTATGAAATAGATAAACATAAACTAAAATGACAGATATTAAGAAAAAATTAAGAACATCAGAAAATACATTTGGATGCAGAAATATAAATTAGAAAGGAGCTTTAAAATGAGTGTTAGGTCTTAGAATAGGCTCACCCATTCGAACTGCATTCACCACCCCTTTCATGTATTTCTTTCTTTATATTGTATTTATCATTGATTAATATAGTAGGTGATTTCCCTTTTGTTTTGGCTATTTATTTAATGTGTTAGAAACAAGCTCTTTAAGTGTGTGAATCCCGGTGTGATTTATTCCTTTGTATATGCCTATTATCGAGAAAGATGATTTCTGTCTATATTGATGATTTATTTGTGGTTTCAGCTACCCGATTTCATAATGATTAGTGTTTGTGGGATGACATTTTATTTTCTTAAAAAGCATATTTTGTATATTATTTTAATTTTATGTGTTTGAGTGTATTGCTTACATGTATGTAAATGTGCCCATGTGATGTAGTGCCCACAAAAGTCAGAAGCGGGCGTTGAATTCCCTAGAACTGGAGTTACTGAAGGTTGTTAGCTGCCATGTGGGTGCTGGGAACCAAATGTGAGTCTTCTGCAAGAGCAGCCAGTGCTCTTAAATGCTGTGCCATCTCTCCAGCTCCAACATTTTCTGGTGAAGTCCCTAAGTGCTTGTTTGACCTGCTGATTCCCTAAAGTGTAAATAAAGGGATACTGCATGAGAGCAAGAGAGCCCCATCTTCTTTTCTAGATGTTTTTACGTGTATGAAAATGCAACTTCCACAATAAATAGAAACCACAATCATATGGGAAATACAATCAAAAAGGGCCCATTTCCTTTGCTGGGCAAAGAGGAGCTTCAGAAAATGAAGCTAAGTGCCTTACTTTTTTTTCTTTTTTTCACGGTGTCTCCCTGTAGTCCCAGCAGGCCTGGAACTCACTGTGTAGACCAGGTTGGCCACTCTCACAGAGATCCATCTGCACCTGAATCCTTAGTACTGGGACTAAAGGTGTGAACCACCACACCTGACTCATACTTTGAAATCTTAATGACCGTAAAATTTTAAAAGATGTAACTTTGTCATCGGAAAGCTTATTTTCAGTCAAAATTCATTCTCTTTTTTTTTCTTCTTTTTTTGGTCTTTTTGAGATGGGATCTCCCTGTAGCCCCAGCTGTCCTGGAACTCACTATGTAGACCAGGCTGGCCTTGAATTCACAGAGATCTGCCTGCCTCTGCCTCCCAAGTGCTGGGATTAAAGGCATGCACCACCATGCCAGGCTCCATAATTCAATCTTTTTAAAAATTATTCTTTGCTTAAAAATATTTTGTTATTTTTATTTTATGTGTATCAGTGTATTGCCTGCCTGTGGAGGTCAGAAGATGGCATCAGATCCTCTGGAACTGGAGTTAAAGACAGTTGTTAGCCACCATGTGGGTTCTGGGAATTGAACCTAGGTCCTATGAAAAAACAGCCAGTGCTCTTACCTGCTGAGTCTTCTCTCCAGCTCCCAGTTATTCTTGATTTGTGATTATAGACCATAAATTAAATAAAATTTACATATTACATTTTTTAAAATTAAAGAAATAAATGAAACAAAATTCCATGCTTAGTGGAACTTCAGTGCACTCCATCCTCTCTTGTCAGGATGTAAAATTGCTGTTATCTCTTCTCTGATTCAAGTTTACAGAAATATATTGTCAATATTTATTAATAAAGCAGGCCGGCCATATGCCAAATTTCCAGTTTGATTTCTTGAACAAAGGCAATCTTTTCAACAGTGAAATAATTAAAGATTGACCCAACTAAGAATAATATATTATCTCTGAAAGTTTTGATTGACAGCAGTTATCACATTCTGCTTTGAAAAATAAGGAGGGTTAGGGCAGATGTCCTACAGTTAGGAAAGTGCCTGTTAGTGAAAGTGTGGAGACCTGAGTTTGAATTCCAGGGCCCACAGGAAGCCAAGCATGGTGGTAATCCATAATACTAGCGTTTGGGATGTGGGACCAGGAGGATCCCTACTTCTTTGCCCAGATCCACTATGAAATCAATGAGCTCCAGGTTCAGTGAGAGGCCTTGTCTTAAAAATTAATGTGGACATCAGGAATGGAAAACATCCACGATATGCCATTGTCTTCCACATGCATGTACATACATGTATATGTGCACCTGCATGTAAATGTGCATACAGCCATGTAAATGTACACCTCCCCACAAATACATAGACACAAAAAGTAAAAGGCCTGATAGATTGTTTTCACAAATACATGACAAAGAAAGGAAATATACTAGAAGAAAAGATAGTAGTAATAACTTTAATATCATATAATATCAGACAATGAATTTGATTCTCCTTTCTCTGTCTTATTATGAAAAAATCAATAACCTTTGCCCTGTGCCCATCAGTTCTTCAAGTAGAAGCTATTAAGATATTCTTTCTGTAGGTAAGGAAATTGCTGTGCAGAGGGTTTATATTATATACTAAAGGTCACATAAATATTATCTCCACATTCTTTCCTACGATATTGTTCCCAGTGTATAACATAGGATC